TATTAGCTCAGGGCTAATCTTCCTCAAAAACAAAAATAGCATAAATAGGGAAGAGGTGAAGTGCTCCTGTAATTAAGAGGAACCAAAATTTTATCATCTTAACCTCGTGAAAATATTAGTATTGCTTTACTCCACACGTCCTCCTCTTTCTTTCTAATTCATCTGATTCTCCTCGCTGGCCACTCCAAATGCCATTTCCTAAAATGGCCTTCGTGTCTTGTGTAAAGGTCTTCCGTTCTCTCTACCCCAGCACACAGTCTGAGATAGGCCGTCTCTGAAGGTCTGGAATGGATGTGCATGCGAGGACTGGTTGAGCCCATTGAGGGAGGTCAAGTCTCATTCAAGTCATGGTCCAGATGGGATTTTACTGGAAATGGTCTGTATTCTATTGGGCGCCAACTTCCTAAAGGTGGCTAGAAAGAATACATGTTATGGGAAAATCCAAGAATGTCTACTAGACGTGCTAAAAATACTAATGTTCCTCTGGCATGCACATCCAGACTCTCGTCCTGGAATAGGATGTTGATCTGTTTCGCCTGAAGGCAAGGAGAGCTGAGTTCCTCTGAAGCATCAATTTCACATTCCTTACGTCCTTCTTGAAAGCTTCCATTAGAAATATCTTTGTTACCTTTTCAGGATAGCTTCTTGGTCTGCCAGCAGTGAAATGTACTGAAGTCAGAGCAGTTAAGGTAAATTCTAGATCAAGGTGCTGAAAGTCCTCTGAAATTGGGCCTACAAACTAAATGTTTTGGGTTAGTTTAGAGGCAGTTTTTGCCTGAGACCAGGCTCTTTTGATCTTTTCCAATCCTAGAATTCTGTAATCTTGCACTTAAAGATCAATGAAAGGGCTACAATCTATTAAATGCTTAATATGCACCAAGTTCTTTACAGACGGCCTTGTATTTAATCCCCACCTCACCCCTATGAGAAGGCACGAATAACCCCAATTTAGAGTAAAGGATCCAAGACTCAGAGAAGTAAGGTGGTCTGGGAAAGCCACACAGTGAGAAAGTATCAGATCAGAAATCAGAACCCAGATCTGTGTGATGCCAAAATCTTTACATTTCTATTAGAGACAAGATCAGTTCTTGGTGTGATGCCAGCAAATTGAAGTGTTTGAACACTACCTGATAAAAATCTAGGATCAGAAGGGAGTTTGCATAATAAAATGAAAACATCTCCATTGCCGGGAACTTATAATCTATAAAGCAAACACAGGGCATGCCACCCGGTAAGAAGGAGCCGAAACGGAACGTCTTTACTCATCTCCTTCCTGTTCCCGTCCTGAGGGAGGGAAGTCAGGAGGTCACGGGCTTCTGGGGTCTTCTCAACCTTTTCCCCCTAGAGTTGTCCTTACGCGACTATCATAAAGAGGTAATACGGCTCCAGGTTTCAGCTATAGGGCACACTAGATATGCCCACCAGTTCTCCCACTGAAGATGAGTAAAAAGTGCTGGCAAAACAGCTCTTCCAAAGCATTGATAAGCCGGCAAAAAAGCAAAGAACACGGAGGCCAATGGTAAGAAACTCAAGGAGACAAATCTGCTCTCACCTTGATTTTCTATACCCAGTGGATTCGAGCTGGGGCGTGCACAAGTTCCCAGGGTACATACAGTACAGGGGATGGGGACAAAGCCCAGAGCCAGCTCATGGTGGCAAGGACTCTTCCAGAAAACAGCCCCAATCACATTCACTGTAAGGTGAAAAAGAAAGAAGCTCACGTCGGGCTCCGAGAGCCCGTTATGAGAGGGAGGTAGAAGCACTGTTCTAGTCAAAGGACATCTTCACAGTGACAGAGTGATCAACACTAACCAGTTCCTGCCCTTCCAGACCACACAGAGCCGGGCTCTTCAACAGCGCATACCTTCTACCACGGCCAGGCTACAGCAGCACTTCTAGAACTAGAAAGAGCAGAGAAAGCGCTTGGAGCTCTTGTTGAAACGCAGATTCTGGTTCAGGAGGCGTGGGGTGGGGCCCGAGGCTCAGCATCTCTCCTGAAGCCGCAGGAGCTGCTGATGCTGCTGGTGCACAGACCACACGCTGAGCAGGGAGGTGCTAACATAGACATAACCTCTTCTTTACACCATCTCCAGCGACAGAAACAGTCCAGCTCTTCTCTCACTTCCCCTTCCTTTAGATCCAGGTCTTCACCTCTACCACATCCGCTTCTTCCCAACCCCGGCCCCACGGCTCAGCCTTAATAACGAATAAGGTCCAGGTTGAGACATTGATTTATCTACAAGGACACTCAATGGGAAGTCCTGTCAAAGATATTATATTCCATTACACCTGTCGACGTTCTGCACATGTTGTCTGTTATTCTGTCACTGTTCCTCTAACACCCCAGAGCCCCCAGACGCATAGCTCTCAACAGCTTGGATCTGTTTTGTCATTGCTGTTGTTTCTGTGGCATCTTCCAGGTTTAATTATCTTATTTCCCCCAAAGTACTATAAGCCTTCAAAGGCAAGGACAACAATGCCGCCACCAGCAATAATAATAATCAACATACACCAGAACAGTTCTGCAATATGTATATGGACATACTTTCAAACCGCCACCTGACACACATCTGTTTTTTCTTTTTTAAATAGTTTGCATGTGTTGACAGTGGTTACGTTATTTTACTATTTTTTTTTAAGATTGACCTTGAGCTAACATCTCTTGCCAATCTTTTTTTTTTTTCTTCTATCCCCGAAGCCCCCCAGTACTTAGTTGTATATTCTAGTTGTAGGTTCCTCTAGCTCTGCTATGTGGGACAGCACCTCAGCGTGGCTTGATGAGCGGTGCCATGTCTGCACCCAGGATCCAAACCAGCAAAACCCTGGGCCACTGAAGCGGAGCGTGTGAACTTAATCACTCGGCCACAGGGCCGGCCCCTGACACACATCTTTAGAGCGCCAGCTTAAGCTTCACCTGCTCTGAAAACTCTTCTCCAGGCAGACGAGGAGAGCCCTACGAGGCTGCGATGTTTTGCTTATTTATAGATCTTATTTCCCGCTATAAAATCCTCGAAGATGGAAACTGTCTCACGCACTGCAGGTTTGTGCCGCTCAGAATATCATCTCAAGTGAATGAGTGAACTGTACACTGACAACACTCATGACCACCCTGTGGACTAGCTCACTTTTTCCTGTCCCTGTTTCGCTGATGAGGAAACCAAGGCTGAGAAAATAAGCACACTGCCCAAGGTCACACTAGTTGTTTCTTCCCCTTCTGCCACATTATCTGCTCCCCCGTAACTGCCTGTGTCTTTACGTGATCCCCCAAGGCAGGTTTTGCTGGATTTGCTCTTCAGTTGAAATAGTTTGACACGTCCTGTCCCGCAGGTGACGACCTGGTCACACACAGAAGTGTCATGAGTCACCTGAGCTCCCAGAGCTGGCCACCGGCAGGTAGTGAAATGACTCCCAGCCTGAGTTCCCATGCGTTGCCAGCATTCGCCTGACATCTCCACCCTCACTGGGGCCCAGTTTACGCATAGGGAGGGTCCAGTCCTGGTGCGGTTAGAGAGCTTAATTCTCATGGTGACTATCCAGGGTCAACTGTCAATTTCGGACTTGGAATTTTTAAAAGTGACTCTTCCTGGCTTTCAAGTGGTTTGAGTTTGGCAGAAAAACACTTAAAAATGTGTCCCATGTAATATTTTTTCCCTTCTTTGGCATTTTAAATTTTCATGTATTTAAGTGAAATTCCACATGTGAGTAAGCAGAAATTAACTCATCAAAATGAAAGCAGGAAGAGAAGCCAGTTATTTCACAGACGTTTTGGCAAGCCTCTCTCTCCTCTCTCCGGAGAGGCAGAACTGGCTGTCTGTTGATATTTAGCACTCAGGTGACGACATTTTACAAACCCTGCATCCATTTTTAGTGAATTATTGCACATAAAAGCCCAAAAGAGGTGAGACACTCCATATTCTTCTTTACTGTTTAATTTTTGCCTAAAACATGCGTTGGTTTTATAATTTTTTTTTAGAAACTGAAGTAAATAAAAGAGTTCTAAAAATAAAGTTTTGTGTTAACACGCCAAGTGACCTGAATCCATCCAGTCATTCAAAATTCACAGACTCTTTGCACATCCAATAACTAAAGGCGAGTGAGATCGACAGGTCTCATCTATGACCGGGCTGCTAGGAGAAGTGGGATTCAGACAGCAAACGCCAGCCCAAATTCTGCCACAAATCGAAATATTCATTCACGAGTAGGCAGAAAAACAGCCAATTCCTGTAAGCCCAACGAAGCACCAGGGCTCGGACCCTTCCGTGAAATATTAACTCAAAACAGATGTCACCAGATTCTAGCAGTAGTGTTCAGTGACTGTGCAAGTGGACCCAAGCTGCTAGAACCCTCTGTAAATACCAGGACACAGGACAAATTGGTGTACCTGGCTTAGACATCACTCCAAAGTTTATAATTTGCTAGCATTACCGGCTTCCTAAACTCTATTCATGCAAGGACAAGAACGTCTTTAAATAGTTCTAGCCAATTTACGTGTCTTGAAGACTGCTCAATCCTCCAATGAAAAAATAGCCCCATGTATTTATTAGCCTCTTTAGGGAGCCCTTTAGGACCGACCAGAGATAAAGATCACAACGCCAACAGTAGTCCCTCAATGCCACCAAGCACTCCTAAAGGGTGTGTCCAGTTAAGGTATCTCAAATGTTAGCTAACAACCCCATACAGGATTAAGAACACACACACATGCACACACACACCACCGTCTCTACTGAAATATTTCAAAGTAAACTTTAAAAGTAAAACATTTAAAAGTCAATTTTATGGACAATATTGCAGCTAGGTAAAATAAAAGAAGTCGACAATGATAGACGGATTTCATAAAGGCACATAAGAGTATAAGGATGGAGTCTCCGGGCTCCTTCCATAAAAATGAGCACATTTTTTTTTAAATCTTAGTTCGGTTCTTAATTATACAAAGAATCACAGCTTGGTCTCTTCCTTTTAAATCCAAACAAACCGAGGCACAGGTAAGTGACATGACTTACTCGAGGTTGTCCTGAATGAATTAACGGCAGAGCCAAAACTGGCACCAAACTTCAGTCTTTCCATGGCTGCTGTGCAGCTTCTGAAATACATATATAAAAGTCATCCATAACTTTTTGTAGAAAATGTGTAAGAAAAAATCAAAATATGAAGATTTAATGAAAGGTCTCCATACTTTCCATGCTCAGAGCCACTGTTGGTGCAGCTCCTTCTAGATGCTAACACAGCATATTTCCACACCTGCTAATTCTAATTTACAAAATTTACGTGACACTGTATGGATGGTGTTGTGGACTGCTTTTATTTAATTTGGTTTTATATTTGAAACTATGTCCCATAACATGTAATAGCCTTCAAAAACGCGATTTCTGTAATGGTCTCATGACAGTTCATTCTATTATCACTTATTTATCCATTGTTGGGCATAAAGGTTATCTCTAAGGGCTTGTTATAATCATTCTAAGATTAAAAATTTGCCCCTAGAACATAAACACTCTGAAGGTAGGGAGTTTGTCTTATTCATCACAGAACACTCAGCCCCCAAAGAGTGTCCAGCACATAGTAGAAGCTCAATAAGAATGAAGGGATGGATGGATGGATGGATGGGTGGGTGGATGGATGGATGGGTGGGTGGATGGATGGATGGGTGGGTGGATGGATGGGTGGATGGATGGGTGGATGGATAGGTGGGTGGTAGGAAAGAAGGAAGGATGGACATGGATGGGTGGATGGAAGGATGAATGGATGGGCATGAATGGGTAGATACGGATGGATAGATGGATGGACATGGATGAATGGATATCAAAGGATGAATTGATATGGATGGATATTTGTATGCTTCTCTGATAACTTCTCGAAACTTTTAAGTTTGAGCATTTTCTGGCTAAGGTTGCCACACAAATTATAAGATACTAATGTACCTGAAATGCTTCATTGTCCAATATTATATTAAAAGCATTCTTGCTTTATCTGAAATTATTTATTTACCTGAAATTCAAATTTAACTTGACATACCATGTTTAGATTTGCTAAATCTGACAAACATAATTCTTGATGTACCACCTTCATAGAACAGGCTGCCTAGAATACTCTACTGGTCCCTGAGCAAAAACTCAGTCCTAAAGAGTCTGAACCTGTTGGCCTAAGACAACCAAAGAGTGAGTGATGTAAACAGCCACTATATTTTGAGCCCTGATCTTCATTAGTCAAGACAAATGAGAAAAACAATAGGAAAGAGAACACCCCATAACGACAATGCAAAGAGCCAGAGCAGGATCTTTCCAAACACAAATAGTACGAGCACCTTCTCAGCATTGCTCTCTCCTCTCTCCTCACCTCTCCTCCTTGACTTCTGACATCAGTCACTCCTATGCCTTCCTTCTGCTCTTGTCATGGCCCAAAAGTAACTACATGGTCTGGTCCCTGCCTCACTCTTCAACCATTTGCCTCTCCCTACTCATTCTGGGCACTCCAGTTACCCTGGACTTGTTTCAGTTCCTCCCACATACCAGGCTCCTTCCTACCACAGGATCTTTGCATATGCTCATGCTTCTGCCTAGAAAGCCCACCCTTTCTCCGCCTCCCTTTTCCTGTTACTTAGTTAACTCTTGGTCACCCTTCATCTCAGCTCCAAAGTCACTTCCCCAGGGAAGCTGTCCCTGACTGACTTTGCAGACTAGGTCAGTTTTCTTGGTTCTAAGCTGTTAAAAGTACTGTGTACTTTTCCTTCCCAGCACTTACCACAGTTGACATTTTATTGACATTTTATTTTTGGTTTTGTGATTATTTAATATGTTTATCTACTAAAATCAACACTCCATGAGGGCCAGAACACCATGTCTCTTCTTGTTATCAGTCTTTTCCCTGCACCTGGCAGTTTCTTCCAAAATAAAAACAACTGGACACCCAATAAATCTGTACCAAATGGTGAAGGAAATCCTCTGGGCTTGCAAACATCCTACCACACACAGAGGAGCACAACAGCCACTCCTGACTTGGAAGATTGACTCAGTCTAGGCGGGCAAGCGGAGGGAGACCAAAATCCACCTTCTTCTCTGCGTGAATGTCTACGGAGCTGTATACAATCCCCACCCGCCACAGATGACATGACAGGGCATATGACTACAACGTTTGTGTGGTACAATGTGATATGTTCAGAGGCATATAAGCACTGTAATTTAGGAAATATAGGAAAATATGGAGGGAAAATTAAGATCTCTGTCCTGCCATTCAAGCTCACTTTTCTTCCAGCTGAGAATTTTCAAACTTACAGGTCTGTGGGGATTGTCACTCCTCCGCGTGCCTCCGTGGCACCATTTTATCCCGGTTTTTCTCCTAGCTTATGCCCTGCACTGGATCCTCTCCCTCTAGCAGGCGTAAGCCTCTATTCTCCTCAATCTAAATTATTACAGAAATGTTCGAATGTGCGTGAAAGTAAAAAAGACCAGCACCCATCATCCAGCTTCAACAAAGACCAACACATGTCCAGCTTTGTTTCATCTTATACCCCACCGACTTTCCCTCCCACCACCACTGGATTATTTTGAAGCAAATCCCAGATACCACATTATTTCATCCATAAATATTTCAGTATATATTGCGAAAAGATAAACATTTCCCTGAGTGTCCTATAAATTTTTTACATAATTGGCTTGCTCAATTTCGGATCCAGACAAGGGCTGCCCATTGCTTTGACTGTTATGTCTCTTAAGTCTCGAATCTGCAGGTTCACCCTCCCTGTTCTCCTAGCACTTCATTTATTGAAGAAGCAGGATCATTTGTCCTATAGAATGTCCCACATCCTAGATTTTATGAATTGCATCCCCCAAGGTAACATTTAGCATGTTCCCCACCCACTCCCAGCCTCATGGTTCCTGCTTGTAAACCGGCATTTAGATCCAGAGGTCTGATCAGATTTGGGTTTCACCTTTTGGCAACTATATTTCACAGGCAGCTCTGTGTACTTCCAATTATATCACACCAGGAAGTGCAAGGTGTCTGGCTCGCTCTTGTCTGATGTTAAAAATTAATCAGTGGGTTCAGGTGGTGCCAGCTTGATGCATCCATTATAAAGTCCCCAGCAGCTTTTTCACCCATTGGCTTTAGCATTTCACCACTGATGGTAATTACCCAGCTCTAGTGCATCATTAAAGCTTTCAAAATGGTGGTGTTCTATCATTCCACTATATTTATTAGCTGCATTTTCCCATAAAGAAGACATTTCCCTGATCAACACGTTGCTTACCATGAGCACAATTCATACAGGAAAATAGAATAAATGCTTGATATTTTGCCCCTTTATTTTACTAGTTTTCAGAATAATCAAAGGTGTTAGACTCCTTTGAAGGAAACAAGTGAGTTTAGTTTCGTTGTTCTGAGTATCATTATGAATTCACAGATTTATACATGTTTATGTGTTTCAATCCACTGACGTCATTCTTTGTGATGCTCACATTGTCCCATCTTTGGCCAGTGGCAGCTTCTGTGCCGTTTTGATAGGACCCCAGCAGTCATTAATGGCTTCCTTGCTGCTATGACAAGGTGTTCTTGGCTCCTCTTGTCCACTTCCTGACCCAAATCTGGGTCAGCTATTTCTCCAAGGGTGCCTCGTCCCTTGTACATTCTTATTCGCCTCTGGTTTCAGTTTCCCCATTCGATAATCAGAAACACTGCAGTGGAACACTCCTGTCGAAGGGTCCAGAATAAGCCACTGTAGCATAAAAATTATTTTAAGCTGAAGGCATCTGAGTTCCTGTAATCCCTTATCTGCCTGAAAGAACTCAACTGTCATAAATCCCGTCTTTGAGAGCAGCTCTAATCCTCTTGGAGACCAGTCAACACCACATTCAAACAGACATTGTCACAAAATTGTCCTATCTCCCATCCATTTATCTTTCCAAGTTTTTCCTCTCCAACACTGTTCTGATTTTCCTCCTGTACTACAGATCTATATACATAACGAGTGACTGAGTATTGCCATCTCTACATCCACTAGACATGTTTCAAATTCATCTTGTTCAGATATCAACTCATCCTCTTTCCCCCACCTCTACCCTTTATTATGCACTTCATCAGTACTTGGGTATCAGTACTGGGAGCGAGGTCGGAGCAAGACTCTGCTAGAAACATACGGATTTTGCCCACACCCTCGTGAAGCGGTCCCCTGCGTGTTCTGGCGAAACCAACCTTCTAAGACACAGCATGATCCCGGGCTCTGCAACATTCGTGCAATGTTTGAGGATTCTGAAACATGATGAGGACTCTCAACCAGCCACATCCGTTAATTTGCATGAGGCTGTGAGAAAAAATCTTTGAAGAAGTCTGGCTGTCGGGCAGGCCAGTGTAGAAAATGGCGAGAACACGGTTTCCTGGAGCATGAAGCTGTGTCTGAGCATCTTTTGACACCGTCCCAGGAAGAAGAGGCTCAGTCAGCTCTGAGAAGCCCCTCTGAAAAAGCTGGTGTAGGAGGGAGAGAAGTACTAACGGGTACAGGACTGTCCAGGTGAGCCCAGCATGGACACAGCACAGACATTAACCTGGGGCAGGAAAGGTACCAAGGGAAGAGGGCAAAGCTGTGGGCAACAGAGCAGGACAGCAACAGCCCCGAACTGAAGGACAAACCAAGGGGGATGACTGAGTTGGGTAGGGTTCCAGAAAAAGATTGGACATCCTGCCAGACACTCAAATGGGGCCTCGGAGCACTGAGATTTTGATAAATGTGAATTCGTACTCACTCATAACTGACATCTGGGACAGCCTGGGCACAAAAGCAACACCATCCCCTCACTGCCCAAGCCACACCCCGGCGCTCAGCACCTCCACTTCCCAGACCTCACATCCTATGGGTGACCCTGACTCCTTCTCCTTCTCTATAACACAGGTCTCTCCAGGATTACTGTGCCGCCTCCCAGCTGAGCTTTCTGAATTCAGTCGCACCCCTGCAAGTCCTCCTCTATTGCAGAGTACTCCAAACACATTTTATTTTGCCCTCCTAAATAAAGTGCAAAGATTTGAGCCCAGCCCCGAACACATTTATATTTATCCACAAATGCCCTCCTGAACCAAAATTTAGTTATATTTTAGAACATGCACAAAAGAGAAATTAGAAGAGAATGAGAAAAATAAACAGAGGGGTGCTAACATTTTCTTTGATTCCTCCCAATTAATTGTCTTACCAACCTCACCTGAAAACCACCTGCAAAGTAACCGAAGGAGCTCTGGGCTGGATGTGGGGTTGATGTCTTGCCTAGACTGGACTAGACTACTGATCCCTGAGAGTGAGTCTCAATTATCCAAAAAGAGATTATTCTTAGGGCTAAAAGTGACAGGAAACGGATGAATTAATAAATCTGTCCAAGAGGCCAGCCTCGTGGCCGAGTGGTTAAGTTCTCGCGCTCCACTTTGGCGGCCCTGGGTTTTGCTGGTTAAGATCCTGGGCGCGGACATGGCACTGCTCATCAAGCCATGCTGAGGTGGCGTCCCAAGTAGCACAACCAGAGGGACCTACAACTAGAATATACAGCTAGTTACTGGGGGGCTTTGGGGAAAGGAAGGAAACAAAAAGAAGATTGGCAACAGATGTTAGCTCAGGTGCCAATCTTAAAAAAAAAAAAAAGAAAAAGCAATCTGTGCAAGATGTCGTTTGACAGCAGAGACTGAAGATAAATAAATTCATTTCCTGGTCCTACCATCATTAAATCCAGTCTATTTAATATACTCTTTGCCCAAAGCTAAACTAAGTCTTTCTGGCTGGATTTCAAATTTCTTACCTGGCTCTGGGAAATACACAGAATTGGGTGGCTACACAATCTTCAGGTTTGCTTGGGTGGTGATTCTGCAAAGCAAACATGGGTATTAGAGGCACAAAAGCAAAGGACAGGGCTACCCCTCCTTGTGATGGGGACCCTGCTCCCTGGCAGCGGTCCCACCAGCCTACAGGCATTAAAAGGCAACAACAGTTCCTGCAAAATCAAACAGCAACTTAGCTGATCTCCAGCCTGGCTCTTAAACAGATCTACAGGCATTGTTTAAGACTTAGGTTTGCTTTTCCTGTTTTCCCATCAAAGGAAAATAGCCTAAAAAAAATAGCGTTCCAAGTGACCAAAGGTTAGAAAAATTGTCATGCAAGTGTTTTAAATTCTTTGTCATCCCTGATTTCTTTCACAACTGAGTCCAGTTCATCAGAGAGGTTACTGGCATAGGGCTTGACAGCTTAAATGGCAAAACAGGATGTGTCCCCACCAACGCCCCCGCTTTGCTGCAATCTACTGGAATTAATTGGTCTTGGGGTTTTTTGGTTAGTGGTGACAGTGGGTTTTTTTTTTTCCTTCTTTCTTTTTTACTTAAAGGCCTCAGACGGGCAGACATGTAAATAGCATCTCATTTGCATAGAGCTTGGCTGGGCAAGGTGAGATGAGGACACGCTGAGCTGCCTTCTTGGCAAGGGCAGGAAGTCAGCTGCAAGAAGCTACCACTTTTCAACCCTGGGTGGCTGTTTCTTTTTTCTCTCTCTGTCATTCACTTTGGAAGAAAACATAAGTCTAATTTCAAACAGAGCACAAAAACTTGGAAGGGGGGGAAAGGAAGGCAGCCAAATGCTTCAGGCGGGCCCCATCATTCTTGCCACCAATTTTTTTTTCTTACTTAATTAGAGATGCCAAGCCGTCAAATTGGAAATGTCAGAGGCTAGTTGAAAAGGACTGGGCTAGGAGTCCTCGGCCATGCCAACGATGGGTGGCAACGATTAACCGTGACAGACGGTGTCCCCTTTGCACACGCTGGGGAGTTAGCACCACGGGTGCGGTACCCTCTCCAGCCACCTGGGCAAGTCCAAATCTGAGTTTCTTTGTCATTCCACCTCAGAGAAGCCCCTTATTTCAAGGACCACTTCTGCATGAGTGGGTGAGAGGTTTGAGCAGAATGAGCCAACACTGAGAGAAGGGCTACACCATCTCAAAGCAAACTCGCTCTTTCTCACCAATTTTCAGATGTAGTTGAGTTCTCCCCAATTTTTTCTCTCGATTTGAATCTCTTTCACAGATAACTGCCTCCTTTCGGCTGACCCAGTAATTTGCAGCTCTGCTTTCTGGTCCCTGACACTTCAGCTAAGATGTGCCCAGAGACACAAATGAACAGCCTTGCTCTGATACAAGTGGCACAAGGGTAGGCAGGCACATATCCAAGGAAATCATATTTCTGTGGGTGGTATCTGACCAAGATTCATGTCATCTCTCTCAGATAAAACAGTGGATCCTTCTCCAACAGAAATGTATAACACAGTACATTAATATGTTGGCCTGTGACAAGGAACAAAAACTAGTGGGAAATTCCAATGCAGTAATAAAGTATGTGGTCATATTTAGACATGCATATAAACTTCATTTTTCTGAGAGCATTTCATCATTTTTATAACAATCCTGAATTATCTTGTTCTCACGTCAGAGTGCGATGGACCTGGTACACTGGTAAAGGAAGCATTTCGAGACCTTTAGAGTGCTCCAAATGATGGAATCGAGATGTTTCTGCGGGTTCCTGACTTCCTCAACAGTCACATGCCCACTGAGTCACAGTTCTAGAAATAGCCACACCCCGCAAGTTGTCTTTTCAACTTACATTAATATTCTCTCTTGTATCAGATGTTTCTAACCAGAAAGAAATACTTTATGACCTGAAAAGCTTCATAGGATCTGCCGGTCCCCTCAACCCCTCACTAGCTAAATGTGTAATCCCAGATATCAGATGGACACTGTGTGACAGAGCACATAAAACTGTACCTCCAGAAAACTAAAACAAACTACATATTATGGACTTTCAGAATTGATTTGAAGATCAACACCAAAATACAACGCCCTTCAAAGGGCCAAGGGTACATGCTAACCTATGTAGTAGAATGAATTTGTAACTAAGATATCCAGCAAAGGACTAGCATCTAAGACGGAGTTCAGCTGGCTTTCTTCTACGTGGCTGTATCTGAGGAAGACAAGATTTGGCAGGTGCATATATTGGAACTGATAGAACAAGTCATAATCTAGCAGGGTTCCATTCTATTGACCATGGAGATGTGCATTTCATGAATCTTTGCTACTAAAAGGATTTCCGCTCATCCAATTTATCCAACAACTTTTAACATCACACCATTTTTCTGGGCTTCTTATGGAGGTTATTAGAGGACAGAGTAAATAAAGATAGGTTTGCACAAGGCTTTTTACATCAAAGGCCATCAAATAATGCTTTTATAAAATCCGCCTTGCGTCTGGACAATCAACGCACGTTGGCTGGGATGAGTTCTCTGTCTGCTTGTCATGCACACATATAAGCCACTGCAAGCCAACCTTGGAAAGTGTTCCAGGATGTAGGGTTCTTTAGAACTAGACAGACACATCCAAATCTTATTCTGCATTTAGCTCTTTGACCTTAGGCAAATCACTTAACTATTTTTAACCTTATTTCTTAATTTTTGGAATGGAGATAATAGCATTGACCTCATGGGGTTCTTGTGAGGATTATGTATAAAGTGTTTAGCACAGTGGCTGAAACACTCAATAAGTAGATGATGGATGGATAGCTAACTGGATGGATGCATGGATGGATGGATGGATGGATACAGAGAGAGAGAGAGAGATATTCAAATTTTTGGAGGAAAAGGTAAGCTTATTTCTTAGAAACTCTTCCTGCGTCAAATCATCCAATTACCCAAATGATAAGATAAATAGTTCTCAGTGTTTCACACTCTGAAGTATTATTAATCTTCAGCTCCAACCTGATAATCTCCATTTCTTTACGGGAATTGAACTCATAATTTTCTCTCATTATTCTTGATTATCTCCTCCCCCATCCACAACTCAATTCTGCATGGGGAAATAACACTCAGAGGAGACAACAGGAGGACCTAAATTTTATTCCTTTCTTTGCTATCCAATTTCACCATGTCATAGTTATCCAACCTCATTTAGTCGCTGTCTATGAAAAAGGTAGTATTTTTCTAGTTCATTGGGACAACGATAGAGAGAAATTTGACCATTTTTGCACAGAGCTATTGACTCCTTAAAATAAAAGAATATATTCGTTTTGACATATTGTCATCAACTACCGTTTGTATCTTACACTACTTGCACAAGTCTATCCTCCCCCAGTCTTCTCCCATCCCCTCCAAGCCTCCTTCATCTTTATCCTTAAATCAAACTCTACCTGCCTTTCTTTCATTGGCATCGGTGAAGAAGGAGTCACCACTTCTGGGATCTGATGCTAAATGACTGAGGCCAATTTCATAGGGCAGTATGGTGATGAATAAGAAAAGAGGGGAGTGGGAGCTAAACAAATTAGATGGCATTTAAGGTCATTTTCAACCCCCTGATTCTGAGATTAAGATGGATATTGAATAAGCAAGTAACAGCCTCTGACACAGTTCCTTCCCCGAACGATCTTATGAAGGCCTACGAGACAGTGGGGGCTTCTCCATCTGGCTCCACAGGCACCCTGCACCCCTGCCCACCTTCATGCCCTTTCCTTGTCTCCTCTCTGGTACTTAGAAGCATTCCTAGTCTCTGGAGGCAGCCCTCTAGCAAGCTTCTGTTGCTAAGGCTTGACTTCAGAAGTGGCCAAGCTCCACTTTCCCTGAATGAGACATCATCTCAAAACTCTCGAACTCCACTTCCTACTCCCATAGGGACAAACGGACAGAAGGGGAGACAGACAGGGAGCCAGGCAAGGAAAGGGAGAAGGGAATCTTTGATCTTGCTCCTAGTGTGGCATTCCTACCACTGAATTTTAATCAAAACAGACTTCTGGTAGCAATGTCCTTTCCTTTGACCAACCTCAGAGCACGGCAAGCCCTTGCTGCCCTTTATAATTAGGAGGAAAAAAAATATTACAACGCAAGAGCAAGAAAGACCCCCCCCCCCCCCGCCCCCACCACCAGTTACTTCTTCCTTGCTTAGCCCTGAGATCACAGTGAGATAAAGCAGACCCAACCCTCGCCCAGCAGTGAGTCAGACTGTCTCCTACGTCCTTTGTTTATCAAAAATTCAAATGAGCAAACTGGCTACAGTCCTCCTCCTCCCCAGGGGCCTGGAGCCCAACACGGACCTGATGGAGCCAGGCTGGGCGGAGACAGAGCAAAGACCCTGTTGGGCTGACCCTGGAGCCAGTGACTCCACGTCTGAGAGATTCTGCTGTTTCAGACTTCAAGCAGCACTCACTTTGTCGCCAGAGCGCTCTTTGCAGACTCACGGGGTCATATTATAAGACCAGACTGGCACCGACAGAGCCCCTAGTTCAGCTCCAGCCTCCAGGTGAACCTGCTTCTAGATGCACCGGCATCACTGAAAGCAACACGTACACGCGCATGCTCACACACATGCATGTGCGCGCACCCGCATGCGCACATCCTTCACTCCCCTCAATGGGTCCTGTCTGTCTTCACCCTGCGTGAGTCCTGCCTACACTCTGGCCTCGGAGCCAGGGCCGGGCAGCAAGCAGAGGGGAGGGGGCTAGCATCGGGACAGTCTGCTTCCCCACTGCTTTCTCACGCCCGGGAGCTCTCAGGGTGCAGCCCCCAGAATCTGCCACCTCCCTCCATCACTGAACTCCTAGCACCCTTAGCCTAGTTGTAGCGACCGCCACCTCCACCTGTCCACCTCCTCGCCCACAGTGCTGGCCCTCTTCTTTCTCTTGTCTTCTTTTAGACTCGGGTCCTAGGACCTTCTGTGCCCTCCAGCCTGGTCTAAATCCCTGGGCTATACAGCCTGTCTGCCCATATTCACAGCCTCACTGACGCAGGCAGCTGAGCTCTTTCTCCATCCGGGCGGGGTCCCCGCTTCCATCACTCCCACCGGCAGACGCCGAGTCCTCAGTTTAGACAGGTCATAGATTGTTACAGGCGCTATCCTAGTCCAGGTTTCTGAGTGGTACCTTCTCCTCAACTGGAAATACCAATTTTTAGTAGCATTTTTCTTTAGAAAGTTCTTACATATTTAGAAAAATCATGATTATTTATTCCCAAACTAACTCCTCTCTGATACCCATTTCTGGGCCAACTGGAGCGCATCCGGGAAACACAAACTAATTGTAAGCTCCAAAATAAGTCTCCTGTAATGAGAGAGAGAAGGAAGTCCTGTAAATATACGTGCGTGGTAAAGTAGCTGACGTTTTTATGACTGTTATAATATGAGACTGGTATTACATCTCACTTAAAGATGAGAATGTTTGCCGTCTGGGTTAGTTCACTGTTTCGCCTGCTAATATCTAAGCTTCAGACAGACTAGTTGCAGGAAAAGGCCGGTGGGGGGTGGGGGGGGGGGGTGGGGAGGGTTACAATTCAAACAAGTAGAAGGGAATAGGAAAAGCCTTCATAGTTTGAGGTATCTGGTGGATCTAGCTACTCTGCTCCCCTTTCCTGGCCATCGTGGTTGGTTCTTTTTCTGTCTCTTTCTCATGTTCAGTTTCCCCAAGCAGAGTGGAAGTGCTAGGACAGTTAAGAAGGCTTGATCCTCAGAGCGCCCCTGGGCTCAAGCCCTGACCTCTTCTCCAGGCACCCAGACAGCTGGTAGTCTCCATTTTGCAACTGGGAGAATCAGGAGTCCGTGTGACTGGCAGGCACTATCAGGCTTCAGGGTCTGCCCTGTGCACTTGGTTTCCATGCATTTTTTTATATCTAGGCACTGGGGACTCTCATTCAAGTGCTCACGTCTCTGGTTAAAGAGAAAAGTAAGCTGATTCACTGGAATTCAAGGTCAACCTGTCCGATCTGGTGTAGGCATGTTGCATTTCTTGAGCTGCATTTCTTCTCACTGGTTGACACTCTTTGCTTGGGCAGCCTCATCTGATTCTACGGTTTTCAATAGTATCTCTCTTCTGTCGTCTTCCAGTGCCTACCTCTTATGTCGTTCTGAGCTCCAGTCCTGTATATCTAATCCTTATCGGACAGCCACACTTGGATCTTTCATAGCGACCTCAAACGTAATGTATCCAAACCTGATCACCTGAACCCCCAACTCCCAGCCTCCCTCCGGTTCCAATTAAGTTCCTCCTCCAGTGTTCAACGTTTATAAATGGTATTTTTAGTTTCTCACTGCTCATGCCAGAAACCATGGTGATGTGGTCCCCGACACCTCCCTCTCCATCTCTCTCACCACTACCCCCATCTAGTCCAGCAGAGTCACCCTCACAAGTGAATTAGAGATCCGTCCACTTCTCCTGGTCTCTGCTGCTCCATCCTGATCCGAGCCATCCTGCTCTCTTTCTGGGGCCACACAAGAGCCTGGAGGCAGGTCTCTCCTGCCCCCTATTTTGCTTCCCACCCCCACGCCCCATCCCCAACTTCCTGTGCAGCAACCATAACAAACCTTTTTTTGTGGTGGTAAAATATACATAAAATTTACCATTTTAACCATTTTTAAGTGTATGGTTCAGTGGCATAAGCACATTGTTGTGGAACCAGCATCACCGTCCATCTCCAGAACCTTTCATCTTTCCCAGCTGAAACTCTGTACCCATTAAATAACAACAACACCCCATTCTCCCCACTCACCCACCCTCCAGCCCCTGGTAACCACCATTCTGCTTTCTGTCTCTACGAATTTCACTACTCCAGGAACCTCACGTAAGGGGAATCTTCCAGTATTTGTCCCCTTGTATCTGCCTTGGTTTATTTAGCAGAATGTTTTGAAGCCTCATCCGTGTTGCAGCTTGTGTCAGAATTCATTTCTTTTTAAGGCCAAATAATATTCCATTGTACGTATAGACCACATTTTGCTTATCCATCCATCTGTTGACAAATATGTGGGTTGTTTCCACCTTTTGACTACTGAGAATAATGCTGCCATGAACATGGGTGTACAAATATCTGCTTGAGTCTCTGCTTTCACTTCTTTTGGGTATATAACCAGGAGTAGAATTGCTGGAACAAATGGCAATTTTACATTTAATTTTTTGAGAAACCATTACAAACTTATAAAAACAGTTGGATTATGTCTTTTCTTTCCTTAAAGTCCTTTGAGGACTTCCCATTGCACCTGGTAAGCAGGTCAAATGGATGTTTGAATTTCACCTGATCTGCCCTGGGCTTTCCCGCCTTTCCCCATTTCTCTCAGCCCCTTTCTCACCTTGTTCCAGCCTCACGGGTCTGCTTCCCATCCCTCCAGGACACAAAGCTCTTTCCTAGGTCACATCCTCACACAGTCTTTCCCTAGGCCTGGAATTTCCTTCCTTCCTCTCTTCCAGTCTCCTCTGGGTCTCAGTTAAACTATCACATACTCAGCACTGTCGTCCCTGAGCTGGTCCTGGGCCTCCCGCATCCAACCCCGATGCTCTGATACAACCTGTATCTCCCAGTTGACTGCGCAGGGTCATGAGGTCCGGGGTCCTAACTCCCCCTTTCTCATTCTTATCCACAGCATCGAGCACATGGTTGAATGCAGGAAGAGTCCTGTTACGTTGTACGTATTGTTGTTGTTGTTACTTTCCTTGCTATTGTTTTGGAGCAGAGCTAGATCTTATCATCATGACAGCAAGACGCACTTGTCTTCATAAAATGCTGGTTGAGCTTCTCCTATTGGTGTTTGTGCCCTTTTTATATACCACGCCATCTGTTATGGACTGAATGTTGTGTCCCCCAAAATTCATGTGTTGATGCCCTAATCTTCCATGTGTTGGTATCTGGAGGTGAGCCTTTGGGAGGTGATTAGGTCATGAGGTCAGGGCCCTGGTCTGATGGCATTAGTGCCCTTATAAAAAGAGAAAGCAGAGAGCTTGATCTCTCTCTCTTTCTCTCCCTCCGTCTCTCTCTCCGTCTCTCTCTCTCTCCCTCTCTCTCTCTCTCTGTCTCTCTCTCTCTCTGTCTCTCTCTCTGTCTCTCTCTGTCTCTCTGTCTCTCTCTGTCTCTCTGTCTCTCTGTCTCTCTGTCTCTCTCTCTCGTTGAGTGCACTAAGTAAGGAAAGGCCATGTGAGGACACAGTCAGAAGGCAGACATCTGTAAGCCAGGAAGAGGGCTCTCACCAGAAACCAACCATGCTGGCCCCTAATCTTAGACTTCTAACCTCCAGAACTGTGAGAAAGTAAATATCAGTTGTTTGAGCCGCCCAGTCTATGGTATTTTTTATGGCAGCTGGAGCTGACTAATATCCCCTCTACCTCAAACCCGTCACGTTACACTCAACTGGCGTAACCTGAGCATGTCCCCTCAGCTCCCCTTTGAGACTGCTGTCCCCCCATCTTGTAATATAATTAGTTGTTCACGTGCCTGTTTCTGGGACCGGACTTTAATTGGGGTGGGAACCTCATGGGATTTATTTTTTTGATCTCGCCTGTTGTTAACCCAATCCGGAGACGTACACTTAGCAGGCATGCTTTTAAAAGTTGGCTGAAATGGTTCGGCGCCTTGCTTTGAATACGTCTCTAGAAATTTTACCATTTATGAACATATTCTCTTTCCAAAAACAGTTTCAAGTTGACTTGGTTTCTCAAATGTTAGGTAATTGTCAAATGTTTTAAGTTGCTATCTAGCCTTCCTGGATTAGAGCCAATATATAAAGCATCAGTTACGCTGACAGGTGAGCAGTTTAAGTTATCACGTTTCTCTCTACGTGTGTGAATGTCTTACCGGCATCTAGACTGTGTGCCTAAGTTATCTCAGTGCCTCTATGTATGTATACATGAATGTTCATAATAACTACCTTTCGTTGAGGTCTTACATCTCGTAAGCCCATAGTGTTGGCTCTTACGCTATGCTAAGTGCTTTATATGTATGATATAATTTAATCTTCACATGATCCTGTAATATAGGTATTCTTATCCCAGGTTTATGGAAAGGAAAATGGGCTTCCACAAAGATTGATTAGCTCCCTAAGGGTATCCAGCAGAGGACCGCTAGCACCAGGATTTGAACTCAGGGCCGTTGGATCCCAAAGCCTGCGCGCTTGCATTTTTCCATGGATAATGAGAGTCGGCTTTATTTTCACTGAAATCCGTTTCCTTCTCTGCATCCTCAGTGCGATGGAAAGCACCAGTATCTTTGAGGTGGTCTTATTTCTCAAGCTGGGGAGGCCTCCCTGAGGACAGAAGTTACAATTTAGGGAAAATATCAGGCGGTATAGCAGTCAGGGCAGGCTAGGTCATGCCGCAGTGAGAAATAACCTTGAAATCCCAAAGGCAACAACAACAAACAGTTTATTTCTAGCTCACTCTATGTCCGTTGCGGGTCAGTTGAGGCTCAACTCCGCATCAGGAACCCAAGCTGGTGACAGTCTCTATCTGAAGCATTGCCTATCTTCAGGCAGAAGGAAAGGGGGACAGTGAGAACCCACAGTGACTTCGCTGGCCAAACTCACATGG